AATGCGAAAATACGCCTCTGGACCTCTACTGAGTTTTCGAATATATCCGCCTCAGAATGTCGACATAGCTTCGAATATACAACTAATGTACTCTTTTGGAACTCAGCAGAACTTCAAAAATACTGTAATGTACTCTTCTGTGTGATTCCAAATATTCGAAAATACAACTAGTTAGTAGATAATAGTCATTCGAATGTAGAATAACTAAGGGTTTAGAACACGTAACTAATACTATTTATATGGTAATTACTAGTACTTCGAAATCAGACCTAAGAACCAACCACCACACATAGGAAAATATGGGATTTTCCGGGGATAACATAACGACCTGTAACAAACTTAGATACGAATAGGAAACTCAACACATATGAAAATATGGGATTTTCCTGGGTAGCACATCAACTCATAAACGGATAAAGTAACAAACGAATAACTAAAACTATAAGGATAATATGGGATTTTCCTGGAATGACATAACCAACCGTTTTCGAAATTGTAAACAAGGATAACCAAACTGTTTTCATAAGAAAATATGGGTTTTTCTTGAACAACTTTTTCAGAAAGCAAAGGAAACTCGTTCTTTTCAAACCTAAACCGCTTATGAACTCACCAGCTTTATGCTGATTTTCAAACTGCTTGTATTCTCAGGTTAGCGATAGACAGGTACATCGCAACCTTTTGGAGAACACGGAGCGTTCCGAAGACTCGTCTTTACTTTTGTTCATATTACATATGTAAAACACTTGTACCACTTTACTTGCAAATAGATGTAAACAATATTATGTAATGTAATGTTTTGTGATTACCGCTTAACTATGTGCATTGGATTTGATACTAAACGTGAAGTCAACCCCGGAAATGTTTCCTACTTTGGTTTTCGGGGTGTGACAGGTGTAGCCAGTGAGCGCACCATGTGTGAGTTGTATTCTCGTCACTCGCCCATATTTATTTTTCTAAATAAATTATTCACTACAAATGGATTTTGTTATTAAACATGTCACAAATTTCTCGATCCTTTTTTGTTTTGTAAGATGAAGAAAGTAATTCTATGTTCTTTCTTATTACTAGGGAGAAAAAAAATTATGCACAAATTTAAAAATGTAAGATATTATTTAAGAATATTATATAAAGTGTAAGCTGTAGATTTGTGATATTTATTTCTATGAAAAATATGTTGTTTGATTGCTAGGTTACATATCTTTTTTTTTCTTTAATTTCATTTTGACGAGTTTGATCTAAATTTTATAATTGAAGCAGGTAGGAATGATATGTGCTAACGATTTTAAATTTGTATTGCCCTTTAGAAACCAAGCATATCCTGACAGACTGTTCCCTCATATCTTAGTAGGTCTTAGCATTTCCCCAAATTCCGCTACAAGAAGTCATTGATTCACTTCTTGAATCGGTCCTCTAAACTAAATTTCATTTTTTAGTTGGATGTAGTGACCAAAATGAAAGATTTGTGAAAGTTCGTTATTATTTAATAGTGTTAGAGTAAATTACTAAAATCGTACCTGTGGTTTGTCAAAAATTATGAGTTTGGTCCCTAACTTTTATTTTGCACTCGAACCGTCCTTATAATTTGATTTTGTTGCATGTTTTGTCCCTCCACAACATGGAAAGACTTTATTGCCCTGTGAATTTTCTTTTTTGGTTTTTGTTTTATTATTTGTTTATTAGTTATTAATTAAAGCAAATTAATTACATGATTTATATTCATATGGGACCCACTCATACTCTCACTTGCAACACAACCACCACCACCCACCGGCTACTGAAAACCACCACCAGCCACCGACAACCACTACCAGATGATTTCAACATCAACATCATCCATATATTTCGGCTCAATTACAACCTGAATCTTCCCCTCCGGCGAACCCCCACCAGCTCATTCATCTTCTCCAGCACGACCACCGCCTTGCCGTTCTTCAACTTATCAGATTCAATATTTAAAAAATAAAATAAAAACCAAGATCGATAATAAAAATACAAATATAAAACCAAATGAAAAAAAAATCATTTAGACCTACGATTTTGGGGCTGGTCCTCTTAAAAAACAAATCTAAAACCAAACTCCACTAAACAAATCAGATGAAACTTGATTTGATCTTCAAAATCACATTCACATTGGAATTCAAACAAGGATACACGTGTTTCATATTTATGCTGGGTTGCAGAAGTAGTTTCTTTCCAATCTTATCCTCTTTCCCCAATGAAATGAACAAAAAACTGAAAATCATTAGTGTTCACCAACATCTTCTTCTCTAAAAACAAACATTATAGCCATTGTGCACCTCACTTTCATAGTGAAATCCATACAAATTATTTGATATGTTGGTTTAAAAAGAAATGAATTAGAGGGAAAATTTATCACTGTTGAAGGAAGCTCCATTAGATAAAATTGATTTCAAATCAGTCTCATTCGGGCAGATCCACCTAACATATTTTTGTTATTAAAATTCCACCTAAGACAATGACACTTATTAATGTGTGATATGTATTCAATTTAGGTTACCCTCGTTTAACGTCAATAATAATCTAGTTATAACATAAATAGAGAATTTTATTTCGTCTCTCTAAGGTATTATCATTAACTCAAAATATACCTTTAGATAAGAAAAACAAATTATAGAAATTTTATATTTGGAAATTAGCAATAAATAGTTTGTTATAGCATTAACTAAAAATTTATTTCATGTCTATAAATTTCATAAAATTATTTACTAAAGTTCATAACAAAAGTCCATCTCAAAAAATAATTAAGATGGATTTTGTGTTTAAAATTATGTTTTTCATCATATTTGTGTTCACTACTGGTTATTCTCTTTCTCTTTTCTATATCTTTTAAAATTAGGCTTATGTTGTTCTCCTTATGTTTCAGAAACTTATGGATAACGGATGCTAATGTATACATGTTTTGTGTAATTGCAGCCTCGCCGATTCAATTTGCAAAATCACAGACAAATTGCATTGTTGATAGTAGAAACCAAAGTCCCAACCTAATTTTCGACAACGGAGTTATTTTTCAACCGTGTAGGAACCAAAAAGATTGTGAATTCTCACTACTAGAAAAAAGGCCTTTTACGACGCTCATTGCGCGTCGTAAAACGCTCAGACGACGCGCAAATGCGCGTCAAGGAAGGCCCTGTCATAAAGAGAGACGACGCGCATTTACGACGCACATTTATGACGCGCATTTACGACGCGCGGTTATGACACGCAATGCGTATCAAGGAAGGCCCTGTCATAAAGGAAGAGGACACACATTTGCATGTCGTAACCTTACGACGCACGTGTTTATGACACGCAATGCGTATCAAGGAAGCCCCAGTCAAGAAAGGCCATGTCATAAATGAAGACGACACACATTTTTGCGTATCGTAATTTTAATTTTTTTAAAAAAATATATTTATATATTTATTAATGTATAAATTAAATTTGCATTTAATCTCCCATAATAGAAATAAAATACCATATACACAAAATACAATCCATTGCATAATATAAAATAAAATATCATATACAAAAAATACGTACAATCCATTGCATTTAATCTGTATGTATAACAAAGACACATGTGTTAAACTTGTACATTACCATTAACATATAATCGTATGGACTCGAGTGTTAAACTTGTTACCATTAGCATTTGATTCATAAGTCTTTTCAACAAGATTGTTACCTGCATAAATGAAAACAAACAGGAACATTGACAGCCCAGCTATGAACAATTTGACAAGATGCGCCAAAAATGATGATCATTAATTACTCCTTTCAAGGATAATTTGGTTTGGATAGAAGATTAAACTAAATACAAATCATAAAGAATCTAAAAAAAGTTAAATAGGAGACTGCTATATATTACTCAACTTTATGATCAATTTGAAGCTTACTCTTGTGGTATAATAAACTGTGTTTGCAAGTAAAACTTACACATGGTTGCTTTAGCAATTGATTTTGACATGTTATGATAGTTTTTTTTTGTTTTGGAAGCAACAATTCATTACCAAATGGGAGACTGTTATATATTGTACATATAATTCTAGTAAATTCTACCAGAAGAGTGCATGTTATATATTGTACTATTACCCGGAATATGGTGGGCCATTACTGGTATTTGAACATTTCACGCTGCCTCTATTGTCATACACTCTTATGTTTGTTTAAACAAGTTATTGGTGTATTAATAATTATTCATGTCAAAGTAAAGAGAGATACTTGCCACAAAGCATAAAGCACATATTATCAATACAAGCAGAAAGTAAAGAGAGAACAAGAACATAAAAAATACCTGCTTTCACGATCACAATCAGGTTCTCTAATTTCCCTTTCTTTTTCTTTTTCTTTTTCTTTGTCTTTCTCTTTCTTTATCTTTAACCTCTCTATCATGGCTCTTTAACCTCTCTATCAAAATTTTTTTGCAGGAAACATATATGTATGCACCTTAAGATAATTTCCATAAAAACACTTTAATTCATGTGCTAACACTATTACAAATAAACAAAGAATTTATTGGTAAAACAGAAAAAAAAAAAGTTTACATACAAGGTACTTTGGACAATATGTTGGTTTGGTCATGATGTATATGATACGTAATAACTTAAATAGACATCAAGTGACAACCATAAAACATAACTTCACAAAAAGAGACATTAATTAATGACTCCATATTGCACTTCTCCAAGAAAATGACTCCATATTGCACTTCTCCCTGTAGAAAAGGTAATATAAAATGTTATAAGGCGACTCAAATATTAGCTAACTAGATCCAATACAGCTCATTGCAGGTACCCATATTTTTTGTGTTGAACCTTCAATACAGCTCATTGCAGTTACCCGTATTTCCTGGTGATCACTAGACAATGGAACAAGAGCAGAATAAAATAGTTACTTACACAGAAGTGTAGACTTTCTTTTTGGACAGCATCATCAACACATACAATCAGAGAAGTCTTGTAAGAATACCCTTTTGCTGGTGCTGGTACTGCAATAGCAGCCTATGGATCATCCTCATCAACAACACACCCACTCCCACTTCCTCCTTCTGCTGCTGCTTTCACATTCAAATTTGAAGACCTTGAAGCCAATTTTGGGGCAGGAGCTGGGCCAGGGGCAGTTATTGAGCCCCATAAATCATCATATGCATCTTTGCTCACATGTGACGTAGATTTCGGCCGAGGAATTGATCCTGGAAAGAAAAAACAAATACAATTCTACAAAATTAACAAATAAATAAACATATCATAAAAGTTAGAAAATGAATAAATAAATAATACCTTGTGGTTTTGTGTGTACGACAAGCCGTTTTTGAGCTGCTTCGATGTTTGCAAGAGCAGGTGGCAGCTTTTCGTCTTCTAGTGGCAACATATCGTCCCACCCGTCTTTTTCAATCTCTTCATCTTCATGAATACCGATACTGTTCTCGAGCTCCCCCAGTCGTCAGTCGAGGTACGTGACACCGGTGCTGGTTGATCCGCCATGTCACCACCATAATCTAAACTTCCACCTTGGACTAGTGTTGTTGTACTTTGGGTATGTGTACTTGATACTACTACTAAGATGATACAAATCCAGTAATTATTTTACCATAAAAAAATTAAAATTATGTTTGCGTCTAGTGTAAGTGTTTGTTACAACAATGTTTACATGTAGTGGGGACAACAGAAACAAGAGGTGACGTGGATTTTGGAGGCATTGCTTGTGTGGTTTGTTTAGAGGGTTTGCCTTTTGTTGTCAAAGAGTTCATTGCCCATCTGTATTATAAAATTATAAATTACAATTGCATGTATTGTTGGTTGGGTTTCAGTCTTACTTTTTAAAGCCAGCACGAAGCAAAATAAATAGATTACATACCCAAGTATACTTGCATTCCCTGGAAGTGATGAAATTGTGGACCCCATACACTCATTGCTATCCCCACCAAATGTCTACAAAAACATAGTATTAATTATTAAACACGTTGTTTAATAATAACCAATGATATATAATATAATATAGCCAGGGATTCCAAAAAGAAAATGAAACAACAACCTTTTCATGGTACTGCTTAACTATCTGCAAAAACTGTTCAACTGCTTGGAAAGCCTTTGACCGGACATCACTGTAGAAAATCAAAAAAATTTAATTTTAATTTGGAAAATTAAACACTAGCTAATACAACTAAAGGAAAATAAGATAACCTGTGAGGATTAATTGTGAGAACAACAACATTTGGCAGTATACGAGCTGCAATCTCTTGGGGTTCATAATACGAACTGGTGGCACACAGAGCCATTATACCTGCCACCCCCAGAATGAGTATTTGTATTTTAGAAAAAATATTTATATATAGAAAGAAAGATTGATAATTAATTAAGTAATTTCATTGGGGGAAAATATAAAACCAAAGTAAATTGACCTGCTCATCTAGCAGGAGGAAATGTATCACGCACAGTGAACGCATTAATCAACACTCTCTTGCGTGTCTGCAATTTTATTAACCATAAATAAATTAATAAATAAATGCATTTGCTTCAAGGAAAGAAAGGAGTTTTGAAATAATCAGTGAGTATTTTACTAAAAAATGCAAATGGGGGGTTTTACTAACTATGAGATAAATTCATTTCAACAAAGATTTGGGAAAAGCATTTATAGGTTTGAGATTAATATATTTCAATAAAACTTACCATATGATTCCCATGTATGATGGCCCTTGATAGGTAGCTATGTTTCATCTACTATCATGCCCAAAAAAGAGAAATTAAATATTAGCAATTTTCAAAATATGCAAGAAAATATTTTGAAACTAAACCTAGTTGAAACAGAGTATAATCTGAACCTTTAAACCATCAAGACCATTTGCATCTGGATGTCTACAGCCTGTTCAATATGAACACAAACAAGAATCACTGATTATTCATTTGATTTTAGCATTCATAAAATGTTATTGATGTAGAGCATACCTGCTAGGAATTGTTGATGAGCAGCAGCCACGAGTGGAAGAGGAAATATAAGCGACTTGGCTGTGTCTAAAACAGTCCCCTGTAATACACAAGAGCGATTGTCACCAGCTTCTTCAATACCTCCGCCACAAGAGCATATGCATTATCCTACAAACTAAAACAACAAAGTTTATAGTTTAACACAACATGTTCCCATATGATTTAACATATAATGAGAAAAGTGAAGTGAAGTGGTGATCACATACCATTCACGTGCAAGCATTGAGCATAGAAGACATAGTTCTGCTTGTGGTAAGTTTAGCAGCATAATGTGGGAGTCATATTTTGTATTAGCACCGGAAGATGAGGGCTTAGAGGCATGATCAGCTTTGGGTGATTTGGTATTTGAGCCTAAGCCACCAGCATGATCGGCATTTAGTGTGGACATCTGAGTAGGTTATTCTTCAGGAGCAGGAGCTTGCTTGCTTTCCGCATTGTCAACGATCACATCTAACAAGTTCAGCAGCTGAAATGCAGCAGATCAAACATCAATTAGGGAAGAAGAAAAGAAAAATACATTTATGATTTTACCAAAAGAAATGAATGTGCAAATTCTACCTGCTCAAGATGTGCAAGAACTACTTCAAAACACAATAACACATAAAAGAACAATACATGTAATCTACCTCAATGTTATTGCTATTGTACATTACACTTCAAATTTAATAAAAACATGTGTAGTTCCTTGCTCAAAATATATAATATAGCATGAAAACGCAAGAGTCAATCATTGGGGCATTTTATCAAACAGTTGGTGTTCACCACAAAGTATCCCTAAACAGGTAGTGATTAATTATTCAAAGATTACTAGGTTGTTGTCTTATGTAGTAACAAAGCAACCAGAAATAACAAGCAGTAGCCTGAGTTGTAGGAGCGTAGAAAAATAAAATATCAACTGTGTTTAGAAGATTCAAAAGATTTACAAACAGCATAATTCATAAAAACAAAGTGTTTACTGATGACTATACTAAGATTTGATTACTCACCTGCATATATAAATGCGTGATGGTTCCATCATTGGCAGTGGGTAACAAGTTCACAACATCAAGCACTCTGTAGTCACAAAACTTTGTGGTGAGATTCTTGAGGGTTTCAATGACCCTATTAGGCTCGAGAGTAACCAGGTCGCAGGGGTGTGATGCCATATCCTGAATCCATAGCCAAGCTGGGTGAAGGAACAATTATTAACTCCATGCCGGAGTACTTGATATGAGATACGAGCTTCGTTGCGTTATTCTTTAAGATAAACAAAAGGGATTCGGTAGTGGTGGAGGTGGATTAGGGTTTATAGAGAAAAGGAGAAGGAGACAGTGAAAGTTGTCGGCTGGTGGAGAGGATGAACTCGTTATTCCTTCCCGAACAACAACAACTTGATCAGAGAACGAAACCTGCAAACGAGGTCCAAGGTTTACATGGAAACCTTAAAAGATGGAATAAACCTAGAAAATGGCCATTGTAGATTGATAGATTGAAGACCTTGAGTGATCCCTTGCGAATAAAGTTGTGCGATTACAGAGAGTCCTTGTTGACTGAATCCAAAGATTCCGTTAATGGCTCTATCGGGTTTGGTTAAATCCCCAGTTTGGAATGTGCTACATCTGGTTCATGAACTTTCCAAGTCAATTAGGGTTTTTTTAATGAAAAAAAGGGGTTAATGGATTGGGATGATGTCCTACCTGAGAAAACAAAGAAAAAGAAGGAGACCTCGCAGTTCAATTACGATTCACCTTCGAGGTTTACAGAGAGACGGGAGGTAGAGAATAAAGGGAGATCTAGAAGAGAGAGTATCAGAGAGGGGAGAGTGGATTGAAAGGATGAAAAGTAGATAGAAGAAAAAAAAAACAAGGCGGGTTTTCAAAATTTTGGGGATTTCGTTTCCCCCTTCATTAATTAAAAGCGCGTTTCATTAAAATTATAAAGCGACAGGTACAGATGACGCGCGTTTAAGATAAAGCGCCCTCCGTGTTTTTTTTTTTCTTGAGACACTAAATTAAGGGCACGCAATAATGCGTGACGTAAATCCTTAAATTTTTTGGAGAGATGACACTATTTTAAGGGCACGTCCTTTTGCGTAACATTAATCAGCGCGTGTCGTAAAAAGCGCGTCATTATAGGTCTATTTTCTAGTAGTGTCTGCCACTGTGCACCTCCTACAGTGAGTCATTGCATTGATAATTTATGTCAATGTGTTCATCCTTAAGTGTAGAAGAACCGAACTACATATAAAAATATCATGTTCAGAAGTTACATTATGAAAACGATGTTAAAATTATATTAATATGATTCAAAAATAGTTTAAGAAAACCATGCACTACTTATGCTGCTTTTTGTTTTTTTTGTTTTTTTTTTTTTTTTTTTTTTGTTGTATCACCGACAAATGTGACAAGCTTAAGTTAAATTATGAAGACATATATTTATTTACTTAAGAGACATATACTGAAATTTGTGCATAATTTTTTTTCTCCCTAGTAATAAGAAAGAACATAGAATTAATTTCTTCATCTTATAAAACATAAAAGGATCGAGAAAGTTGTGACATGTTTAATAACAAAATCCATTTGTAGTGAATAATTTATTTAGAAAAATAAATTTGGGCGAATGACGAGAATAGAACGCATACATGGTGTGCTCACTGGCTACATCTCCCCTCTACTATTATCTACTATTATCTACGGTTTATAGATTTTTCCATTAATATGAAAAAGAACATAGTTTTTATGAAATCAATGTAATAAATAATAGAAATTATTTTAATCTATTTTAGATTGAAATTCAAATTGATATTACACTTCATAAAACGTTGAGAAAGGATATATATATATATATATATATATATATATATATATATATATATATATATATATATATATATATATATATATATATAGAAGTAAGTTCATGCGAAAATATAAATATCCTGCGAAAACGCGAAAACAGATTTTATCTTATGAAAATTAAACACATGTACTATAAAAAAATAATTTTATTAGCAATAAATTAAAGATAGTAAGTTTGAATTGGATGGTGTTATGATAATATAGATTTAAAGACGGTGTTTGCATGGTAGAGTGTCGTATAGAGGAATAGTGTGTCATATTCTGGATTACTATATTCTCTTGTATTATAGCATAATGAACTTTTTAGTATAGTGTATAGAGTGTTCTCCTTGTATAGTATTTAACGGGTATTAACTCATAATAGTAGTAATTATAGTGAGAATCATAGTGATAGGGGTAATGAGCAGTAATCTTAACTATACCTATTATAGTTAAATAGAGTGTGGGATTGCATGCCTTTGATTTACAAAGGCATTGAACTAAGTGAAGACTTTCATATCTAACACAAATATATATGATATATATCTAAGAATTCAATGATAGTTGGACAGATAACAGTATACCCTAAGTCCACAATCAAACAAGAACATGAAGTAAGGCGAGCTATCAGTCCTAAGTCCTTCAAGTGTTACTTATATAAAAATATTGGTGTAGATATAGTTTAAAAGAAAAGAGGTTTAAAAATAGTTTGAAAATAGTCTAATAACATTTTAACTTGGAAAATGCGTTTGATAATTATTTAAAATAATTTTGTTGACAAAGTAGTTAAAAGTATAGAAAATCCTTTTTGGTTGCAAGTTATAAATCACATGTGATTGATACTATAACTTATTGTATTCAACTTGTATTCCCCCCTCCAGTAAAAATATTTAAAAACATTTGAAAGGTTAATTAAGGGGTATGAACTCACCTACAGCAAGTGGATCCAATGGAAGTATTGGTTGAGTGCTTGGTGTCAAGTGAAAACTTGAACACACTTAATGACCCTAGTAACATATGAAGACATATGTTTACATATAATTAGTGATTAAAACACTAATTAAACATGTATAAACATCCTAATGCAAAAGAAAAACACTTTGGTCAAGTGCTAGGAGGCTATTAGGTTGCAATAAAGGAGTGTAAGACCTCACTATGGAGTTTACTCCTCAAATACCCACCTTAGGTGAGTTTACAGTTAAGGGACCAATTCCCCCATGAGTTTATGGCCGTAAACTCATGGGAGGGGTTTATTTGTGTGCTTAAAGGTCTTTTGCATCACTAGAAAGGGTTCCAAGGTCAAATCTAAGGCTTGAGAGGTGATTAGGGTTCAAAAGGGGTACTCCCTTGGAGTTTGTGGTCCTTGGACCACTCCTTGGGAGTTCATGATTGTACACACTAGGGTTTACGGCCATAAACCCTTGGGCACATCATTTCCTTCGTTTTTGTGGTCCTAAGCTCATTCATACAAGTTTCCAGGTTAAGGTCCAAGGCTAAGTAAGGGGTTTAAGGCTCATTTTGCACCACTTGAGGGAGCTTACGGCCTAATAAGGTTCTTGGGCTATAAAACCTCATTCAACCCTCCAAACTTGATGTTTAAGGTCCATAATACTTCAAGGGTTGGATCTAAGCTACTCTCTAAGCATAAGGAAGCAGTTAGGGGGCATTTTGGCACCCTTTTAAGGGTTTACGGCCAAAGAAGGTTCTTGGGCCGTAAACACCTTGTTCTTGTGATTCTTGGGTGTTTTAAATGCTATAATGACATGAAATGATCTTTAACACAATCTAGGGAAAGAGAACTTACAGTTTGGGGACAAAAACTTGAAGATTCTTCAAAGAAATCAGGTCTTGAAGAGAGTGAGTAGAGAGAGAGAGCTTAAAGAGTGGGAAAAGATCAAATTGGTGACCACTCAACCCTTATATAGGGTTTGAGTTTGTGATCAGTTGGAAATCTACCAAATACCAACGTTAAACGGAGTTTATGGTCGTACCCGATTAAATGGTCGTAATTCGACTTGATCTTAACTAAAAAGTTTTCAAGGGAATATTGAGCGTGTTTCACGTGTTTCTAATTCGTTCCGACACTTATGAAGTCATAATAAAAGTCTCAATTTAATTTTCATGATCCAAAATGTCAACTGAAAAATTTAATAAAAACGAGTTTTATTAATGGAAATGGGTTACAGTGACGGAATAAATTTCAGTTATCACATCCGGCCATAGAGGGCTTCAAATGGAGCAGGCTTTATGCGCGTGTGATAATTGATGTTGTAGGAGAACTCGACAAGGGGAAAATGAGTATCCCATGCCTTCCCAAAGTTAATCACACAGGCTCGCAACATATACTCTAAGGTTTGGATAGTTTTCTCACTTTGTCTGTTGGTCTGCGGATCCTAGGCTGTACTCATGTCCAGCCTCGTTCAAAAGGAACTTTGTAGTAACTGCCAGAACCTCGAAGTGAATCTACTATCTCTATCGGAGATAATGGATATCGAAACACCATGCAGTCGAACGATTTCCTTGATGTAAGTTTTGGTAAGCTTTTCCATCTTGTCAGTTTCTTTGATTGGCAGGAAGTGTGCGGATTTGGTCAATCTATCGATGATGACCCAAATGGGATCAAGTCCACCCGATGTATTGGGCAACTTGGTTATGAAGTCCATTGTGATCTGATCCCACTTCCACTCTGGTATCTCTGGTTGTTGAAGTAAACATGATGGTTTCTGGTATTCGACCTTAACCTTTGTGCAAGTAAGGCATTTACTCATGAAGGTAGCAATATCTGCTTTCATGTTAGGCCATAAGTATATCTTTTTAAGATCCAGATACATCTTATCTAAACCCGGGTGGACAAAATATCTAGTGTTGTGCACCTCGGTCATGACGAAGTCTCTGAAGCCACTGTGTTTCGTTGTCCAGATCCGGTCCATGAGATACAACGCTCCGCTACCCTTGACTTCCAAGTTCTTATCCATTCCTCACAGGGATTCTCCCACCACATTTCCAGTTTTCAAGGCTTAGAGTTGAGCCTCCTTAATTTGTGTCGACAGATGCGAATGGATAGTCATAGTGAGTGACTTGACTTTTGACCAGAATATTCTTTCCAACTAAGGGCATCTACTACTACATTGGCTTTACCCGGATGATAACGAATGTAGCATTCATAGTCATTGAGTAGCTCGACCCACCATGATTGCCTCATATTGAGCTCCTTCTGGTTGAATATGTGTTGTAGGCTTTTGTGGTCTGTAAAGATGGTGCTTTTCGTACCATACAGGTAGTGTCTCCAGATCGTCAGAGTGAACACCACCAATCCTAGCTTAAGATTGTGTATGGTGTAGTTGAACTCGTGTGTATTCAGCAGCCTTGAGGCATAAGCAATGGCCTTACCTCTTTGCATCAGAACATAACCAAGCCCTTGATTTGACAAATCAGAATAAACCACAAAGTCTTCTATTCCTTGTGATGCTATTAGGACCCAGGAGAGTCATAAACTTGCCAACTTTATGAGTTCCTTACTTTCAAAACTTCTCAAACATGAAGAACATGACACAATTTTCTAGATCTAGCCACCCTATGCAAAGTAGATTGAGCCTTTGACGCTTACAAAGGTCCATAAGCTATGCAAGATAATGTTGGTTCTGCTTCCTTGCATGATCCTACAATAGAGAACCTTCTTCTCTACTTCTCATCTTCTACAAACTATCAAATTATCCCAAAGGCCACAAACCTCCAAGGGAATGGGGGCTAGGGATTCTATGAGGTATAAGGGGTGGGGGGGGGGGGGGGTAGAGGGTAAAAATGAGCCCTAGAAATGGCTAATATTGAGTTAAATATAAAGGAAACCCTAGAAGATCATGGGATTGGGCCAGAACAACTTCCATGTCATGGCCTTTCTTGGCCACACCATCAGGGTTCAATAAAAGACGTGATCATTTAATTATTACTACATTGTGGACATCCTTGCCTCACGTTGTGGCATAGATTTTCCTCTTAAACTCTATCTTTGGTCCTTTATAGAAATAAGATTAACAATTCTAGAACCCATGTGTTATAGGTATCGCCAAGGTAGTTAAAAACATAGTTGATAAGGCAAGACCGTAGCAACAAGGCAAAAAATAAGAGTACATTCAGAAAGTAAGAACATTGGGCAACACCAATGTCAGGCAATGTCTTCGATAGGATGATGATACACATTTCACAGCAACACTAAAAGTTTTATGTTCCTCGGTTGTTGCTCAATTTAGGGGTGACACCACGAAGGCATTGAAAGATAAGCATCCATACAAGCCACCACCTTCCATGTCGAGCACCATATTTTCAAAACCTTACCTTGTAGTGGATGTTGAAAATGTCCTTGGGGGCCTTAAATCCTTCCCAAAAGGTACCTCGTATGGGATAGGCGGGTTAATAACTCAACAAATTTAGGGTGCTCTTTTTGGAGAAGGTTCAAATATAGTTAAGGAACTCCTATATGCTATTACATCTGTGGTTAATCTATGGCTAGGGAAAAGATGCCCTTCGAGTTTAGCAAAATTGTTGCCTCTGCTCCTCTCACGCCGCTCTTAAAGCATGACAAGGGAATAAAACCTATTATAGTAGGCACTATATGGAGCTGTTTCATTTCCAAGTTGGCTATAAAAGGTGTTGGTAAAGAAATGTCCTAGTATTTCAAAGATTTTGAATTCGGGGTTGGGGAGTTGGGTGGTGTCGGGGCTGTATTACATAGCGCAAACAGGGTGTTGAGTGAGTGCCACAATGAAAGCTATCTGTCCATGCTTACCGTGGGCTCCCCCAACGTCTTTTACCTTGTCGACATGTACGCATTACTTCATGAGGCCAGATTGAGGTGCCCTTCAATATCCTTAGGGTAGAATTCCTATATGGTTAAGCAACAAGGTTGTATCTAGTAGACACATATATTTGCCTGCTTCTCTTTGCACTTATGTTACATCCACTCTTGCATAATATTAGAGACAATTGTAATCTTCTTCTCCATGTAAGGTACCTTGATGATGGCACACCTATGGGAGATTGTAGGAGGTTGCCTAAGCGATAGGCATCATTATGGTGATTGGCCCAAAATTGGACCATTGGCTGGATATCAAGAAAACCGAGCTCTTTTGGATGTTGTGTGATAGTAGGAAGCTACATGAGGGGTTATTCCTGGTTGGCATCGGGAGGCCTCTGTTGGGTTTGAAACTTCTTGGAGAAGCTGTTTGTAAACATGCTAGTTTCGTTAGTAGCTTAGACATAAAGAGAGCCAAAAGCAATGTGAATTTTATGTGCCTTCTTCCACAATTGTCTGACCCCAGAGTGAGCTCCTTTTGTTTCAGTCTTGTATAGGTATTGCTAAACTTTTCATTTTAAGTATGTGCCAACTTGGTTCACATGGAGGAGGCAACATTATTCTTTGACTATAGGTTGTGTGTGGCGATTGAGGACATTGTGATTTGTGATATCCCTTTCTTTAGCAACATATAATTGATTCCTAACCCATTACGTTTGGTGGTTTGGGTTTATACTCAACAGTAGAGGCAACCTCATATCCTTTTGTTACCTCAAGGGCCCAATCTTGGGTATCGCAAGACCATAACTTACGGTATAGCAACATATATCGTATGGATTTTGATTATGATTTTGCCTTGAATTCTCTGCTTAACAAGCTTCCGGATATTGATCTTATCATTTTTACTACTAAATACACTTCCTCTCCCCTAAAGCCCAACATACACTGGTGAGTGCCCTTTCTCATAAAATTTTCCAAGATATGGAAGTGCATCTGAGCAGGACGGTTCGGTAGAAAGCAGTTTTCTAGTGTTTACATGTATGCTATGCTCAAGATTTTCTTCTAGCTATCCCTAAAGATAGGTTTGGCCAACATATGTCTCCTATATAGTATCGTACTATCTTTAAATATCGACTCATGATCCTAATATTCCCAGATGACGAGATATGTCTAGTGTGTCGCAAGACATGTTTGGATTCTTTTGGAGAGCATGCAGTTCACTGTTAGGAACTCCCAGGTTCAGATACAGGCACAATGGTTAGGGATGTTTTTTTTTTTTTTGACATATTTAAGCATGCCAGAGTTTCCGCCAAGAAAGAGACACCTGTGAATTTCTTAACTGACCCAACAGAAGGAATGTCAACCCTTAGACCAGCTGACGTTTTTCTTTTTGGATGAGTTGGAGGGAAATAGGTATGTGTGGACCTTACAGGGGTATCCCCAGTCATGGGCTTGAGGGCTGGGGGTTTCACGGCAGCACAGACTGTTTTAAATGTTGCTACAGGAATAGTCATCAAACATGTGAAGTCGTGCATGAAAAATCAACACATGATCATATCTTTTGCATTTGATACGTTTGCTTTCGTCGTACCGAATGCTGTGAACCTTCTTAATAGAGTGCAACAAATCATGCATAGCAATGTTATATCGCCAAGATCTATGGACGTAGTTTTTTCAATAGAATGGATTTTTTACCATACAAAAAGGCTTAGCGGCGCAGGTTGTTGATCTTTTTCCATCTCACTCTTTGTACGATGATAACTAAGATATATTATTATTAATATTCAATAAAAAAAGTCTCTATTAAAAAAACATAAATTTTAAAAAATATCCATTAAGAGCTCACAATAAGTCAACTGTTATATGGTTGTTATATTTATGTTTTCATATTATATTACAATAACTTATTTTTATATAAACTTTGGTATTTACTTTTTTTCCTTTAGCGTATATACAAAAATAAATAACTGATATTGCAAATTCAATGCATCAAACCAGATTTGCAAATAATAAATTTTAAATAAAAGCCTATTGGAAATTCCGCTATCATATTTGATAGCATCTACTTATAAATATCCTCTTATTTCACAATTTAATGATTACACTGAAACATTTCTCTACCTTTCAAATGGCCTTCATTGGTTGTAGGTTTCTAGTTCTCTTCCTCATTCTCATGGCTTCTTTTGCCTCCCTTTGTCATTGTATGCTCATTTCTCTGTTTCTGTTTCTCTTTCTCAGATGCACACAAACACACATTAATTTCATTATAGTAACTTTCTTATTTTATCGTTGTGATTTAGGCACATCAAACATTCCTGACCGAAAGGAGGCATCGAAATCAAATACTACAAGTGAAAAGATCGTCATTGATTTTTGCTTTAAATTTGATTGTAAGCTTCCCACAGGATGGGTAAAATGTTATTGTTGTATTAAATCGAAATCTCGGCCTTGTTGGGTAAACCGTGATGTTTGTGTAAGAAGTTGTGTTTGATTAAGTAAGATATAATCGAGAATCAATGATATATTAGTAGAAATGAAAATGTGTTAATGATATCATTTATCATAATTGTTTTTTATTTTCAAAGGATAATACATTGTGCATATGGTCCTCATAAATAAAACATTCAAAATAACAGAGCATATCCTTTAAGAATACCAATTCTTAAACTATCCACATTTATTGATCCTCATAGCCCAAACCAATAGATATCTTCTCAAAATATAAAAAATAAAAAATAATAGCTAAACTGCCGTGAACAGGATCACACTAGGATATGTCGTTTTTTTTTTTCTGCTTTTTTTTCCAGCAAACTTTAATCTAGAGAAAAATTTCGGTACTGGTCAACGTGGTTTTCAAAACAATAGCAACTTTATTAATCGTATATTAACTATGGGTGTTAACCATGTTAAGGAGTGTCAATAATAATTAAACTAAAACTGTTCCTTTATCCTCTGGTTTAGTTGAAAATACAACGACCAAAGATTATAACTAAAGTGCATCTAAAAAGCTAAAAGAAAAAAAAATGTATACAAATCGTTTTCTTATTTGTTACGATTTTGAAAGAGCTTCTACTCATTCCGTTGGGAGAGTGGCAATCTTTGAAGTTTGTCACGTAGCATATATGAATTATTATATGTTTGGATTCGGAGAATATAACTTTAACTTAGGGATTATTATAATAATATGGAGAAGGAGAACATAAGAATATTTGTGAAGTGTTTACAATTGGTGTATGATTGTTATAAAATAAGAATGAGCCTCTCAATTATTTGTATTTATGTTCAGCGTAGTCTGTGAAGTTTCAAACGATTTAGAGATATACAGATAAGATTGCATCTTAAACTATGAAAAGAACTCACTCATTATCTTGAACTATGTTCAAAGTATATATATATATATATATATATATATATATATATATATATATATATATATATATATATATATATATATATATATATTAAAAAAATGTTTCTACATGTAAATGTTTTGAATGGCAGGCAAATAGATTGGGAAATGTAGAAACTATCAACTACCTTTAGCATCTCCAACTTTGATTTTGTCTGACAGAATTGTACAACATTAGTGGAAAAGTTTGTCCAAACATAGAAAAATTAGATTAATTCATAATTCTTCGGTATATTATGGTAATAAATTCATGTTTATATGAATTAGTTTAATGAAAAGTAATTTTAGTTTCGGGTCATTTTTTATTATGCTTGGAAGTAAGCTTCAAATTTTAAAGTCGCGCTCTTCTCTTCGAATGTTTAAATGAAAAAATAAAAAAATAAAAAATTGTCTATCAATAAAAACCTACACATCCATCTTCCTACTATGACCCGAAAATCAAAAAATTGGAGCATATCACAGAAAGAGGAAAAATTCATCTATTATCTAGAAAAAATAGAACCAAAAATAGAACCAATACTTTAGTTAGAAGTGACAAAGAAGTCGGCAGCAGGATGAAGATACGTGGACACAAATTTCATTACATCTGCACTTGCAGACCTGGATAGCAATTAGACAGAGGTGAAACAATTGCATGAAAGGAAAAAATTTCGGAAAACAACATACATGATTAGGACAATCAATGAGTAATAGTTCAACCAAAAACCAGATCACCTTTTGATGCTCCTACAATAGTATCTCATCTGTAAGCAAAATCATCTCTCTCTCTCTCTCTCTCTCTCTCTCTCTCTCTCTCTCTCTCTCTCTCACACACACACACACACACATTTCCATAACTACTTCCCTCAATCACTGTTCCACCTCTTTCATTAACTCTCTCGCACTTTTTCCTATTCATATTCGAGTATAGATATACAGAAAATCATGGAGGAGGAATGCATCCTCAGCAAGAGGATTGGAAATCAACGAAGGGTTTCTTAAAATCACAAAGGAAAAAAATCCGTAACTAAAAATCGAGGAGTGGTGGATCTTATTGGAGGATTGGTAGTGATCGATTGGGTTTATGATTTTGAAGATGCTTCCAGATGTAGGGGAACCTCGAAGAAGTGGTGGAAAAAGCGAAGGCAATACAATATGAAGAAGAACAAACCTACACGTGCGAGGGTAGGTGACCGAGAAACCAGAACGGTTCCTAAACATGTTGAGAAGAAAATCATAGGCAGTGGCAACAGTGGAAAAAGGGAAGGTGATACTTTTCCTGGTGAACAGTGGCGTTTACGTTCCATGGACCAAGGAAAATACCAAGTAAAACACTAAAAAATAATATTTTTTTTAAACCAATAGAAATAAAGAACTATTCCTAACACCCTATTCTTGAGTTGAATTTAAAAAGAGAAAAGAAAGAAAATAAGTAGAAATGAAAAAAAAAAAAACAAAAAGAAATTGGTGTTTCATTAGAAGTAAGGAAATGGAAAGAAGTAAAGGGAAATGAAATGACCACTGTCTTAAGTTTCTTTTCTCTTCTTTACTTTACTTTGTTTAAACTCTAGAACTAGGGCGTAAAGTACTAAAAAGTTATATATATATATATATATATATATATATATATATATATATATATATATATATATATATATATATATATATATATATATATAAAACGATTTTTGTGGTTTTTAAATCAAAGGCGGTTGATTCTTATGAGTAACTCGGCAAAAAATCGCATCGTTACGGATTAACAAAATAACCAAAATACCGTTTATTTTTTAGTTATAATCAAAAACTTATGTTTTAGAAAGTAGATTAGAAAATTAAAACGGAAATATACATAATACTCAAGTTATTATATTGGTATATGCACAAAAACCTCTTCTATTATTTTTTGTTCAGAAAACCCAACATATTTTATTTTACCAGTAAAAAAAACAAATAATAGGTTTCTAAACAAAATAACATGTATATATTTTCAGTGTCTTGTTATTAAAAAATGACATGACATACCCTAATATTTAGTATTAGATCATTTATAGGATTCTCCATTTTCATCAACACTTTGATGGAAAAATAGAGGGAAAATCAGATTAAACGGAACGACGGTGAGAAGGAACATAGAGCAAAAGAAGTTCGAATCTACAAATGGAAGGTTAAATCATTCAAAAACTATCATCGGATTTCTTGGGAGGGAAAGGTATTGTATTCTTTGACTTCTTTTGGTTAAGGCTGAGAAAAATGAGAGTTCAGTGACACACTTGGCAGAATACACAGTCCATGGTTTACTTTTCTTCAACTTCCTCAAAATTGCTCAACAGTCTGGAAAAATATAGCAATTAATGTGCAATTATTTATCATTATCGTTGTTGATACATGCATGGAAGACAATTCACCAAACTCAAATTACAACATGACCGGGAGTGGTTACGAACGTCAAGTACGACTACTGTGACGGATCGGAAGCTATCGGAAGGCGATTCTCCAGTTTCGATGCATTCACTTTTGAACAGTTGCGAACCCCAAAAGTCGTCAGACTCTCATTCTGAATGAATCGGTTCTGATGCACTGGTGTGTATGATAGGATGTAAAGGCTACTTGGGAACCATGGCATGTGGGGTTTGCAAGGTAACCTCGGAAGTTTACGAGACACATGTCCATTTATTTTCAAACACATTTTTACGAATTTATATAGTATTTAATAAGATTTTGTATGAGTGACTTTCAATAAGCCTTTGAGGGTGTTTGACATTGCTTTTAAAACATCTTTTGGCTTTTAACTTTTTCAAAAAGTTGAAAAACATCAAAAAAGATGTTTGGCTATTGAAAAATATCTTTTAAAAATGTTTTTTTTGTATTGAAGGAAAAGAGAGTGTTTCAAAAGTCACAAATCCTATCTTTTTGTGACTTTTGAGACTTTTAAATTGAAGTTAACTTTTTTGCCAAAAGCAAATACAGACGCTTTTTAAGAAATTTCTTTTGGAAAAAGTCACTAAACAAAAAGTCATTTTTCAAAAAGGACTTTTATCCGTAATTTTTTTGTCAAACACCCTATTTATTAGGCATGTTTAATTATAGTGGCTTTTGAGTTATTGTGATCGTTGTTATATTAGGCATTAAATAGCTATTTCATCTATAATTTCTAAGGAAATTATACAATAATTTTTTTATCAAAATAACTTTCTATTCATCGAGCTGTTGTTGCGCTAAAAAATCATCAATTAAAGAAGGTTTTCCTAATTTTGATAGAACTCAAGTTAATAGGTCTTAACTTGTTTTCACCAATATTCTATCTATAGGTCTATATTATCTATCAAATCTATCCTTTTACTTCATGTTCCGCTACAATCACAAATTATCCATAAACAAAAACACCCCTTACTCGTATCATTTTTTGTATCAGATCTTGATTTAGATGGATTGGGATGACCCTAATTTCCTTCATAATCTTCGTGAAGCCCTAAAAAATATTGTTCAAGATCCAAATCAGAGGCAATCCAAATGTTAATTGCACCGTGTGGAACTCCAAGGTGAGCGAAATGCCTGAATATGTCAGTGTAACTGATCCACAAAGATGTTTGGATTTGGAGAGGATGACTGAAAGAATGTTCGAGTTCAAAGAATTGGATGATGAGATGTGTTGTAAATAAGTAATTCTAAAGTTAAGTGGAGGAGCTTCACTTTGGTTTGAAGGGATGAAAGCCAAGGGAACCTGTGAATGAAAGGATGAGGTCGTTTTTTGGTAATCCTTGAAAGACAAACTCCGAAAGAGGTATATGTTAGGCAACTGTAGGATCGCCACCTATAGGAAGATTGTCGATTTGAAGCACAGAAAGATGAGTGTTAGGGAGTACATCGATGAGTTTGAGAAGTTATCACTGATGGGTGATTTTTATGAGATAGATGAGTAAAAATGTCATGATTTCTACGTGGTCTGAGTTGCAACATGTCCAATATGGTAGAACTCTATCCATATACTGATTTTGAAAAACTATGTAGTCTTTGTTTGAAATTGGAGGCCCAAGTGAAGACAAGGTGTGGAGGAACCTTTAGCTAGGAATCTGTCAAACCCAAGCCTTGGTCCAAACCAAAATCTAGCATGAAGACAACCACAACAACTATTCCCATTGGCACTAGTATTTCCATGATAACCCCAAAGTAGAGTAGTGAAAACATGGAGACCAACTTGTCTAAGGTTCGTTGTTCCAAATGTCAAGGGTTTGAGCACTATCAAAATGCTTAGCTAAACAAGATGGGGGTGACATTAATGGAGGCTATTGAAAACCTTGAATAATTGTTAGTGGAAGAAGAGATGTTATGTAACATCCGGATTTTACCAGGTATAATGTAAGTTTAATTGTGTTATATTGTGAGAGGGACTCCGCGAGTTGGGGCTCAGACTCGCCGAGTAGGGACGCGGAACTGATCGATGGTGCGCGCTTGGACTCGGCGAGTCCAGGGTATGGACTCGGCGAGTCTGCGCTGTGTAATGAAACCCTAAATCTCCGGGTTTGTGGCCTATTTAAAGGGCCTTATGGCCGTCATTTGCGCTCATCCAACCCCCAGAGTGTGTCCCTAGAGTTCTTGAGCGTTTGGTGAAGGATTGAGAGCAAATCTTGACCTTGTGAGTGTTGTTTAGCAAGAAGAAGGAGGCTCTAGGCAAGAGGAAGCAAAGGAGGTTGCTATTTCGTGGATTTGGAGCTTGGATCATCACTTTAGAGGTATTATTTTCGGACCATTTTCTGTTTGGTGAAACTTGATGCATGTTAGGGTTTAATATGATCATTTATGGGGTGATTTGGTGCCCCTTTGGTTCCCTCTTGGAGTTGAGACCATGGATCTGGATCCATAGAGGTCCAGAGGGCCTCACTCATCAAGCTTTATGGATGAAAATGGAGTCCTTGGCCTTGTGTTGAAGTATTTGAGTCAAAAACATCATTTGTGATCATGTAGAGGTTATTTATGCTTCAAGATCGTGACTTTACGTGCTAAATAAGCATGGAGGGACTGGATCTGGCCTTTAGAGCAAGATTGAGTCAGTGCATGGCACGGACTCGCCGAGTCCGAAGAACAGACTCGGCGAGTAGCATGAATGTTGCGCGACCACTCAGCGAGTGGCCTCGCCGAGTTGGGAAGGGTGAACTCAGTGGGTCAAGGGAGAGTCAGGATGGACAGGTGGACCGAGTCAAACTGGACTCGCCGAGTTGTTCTTGAGACTCCGCGAGTTGAGTCGTGGTGGCCCCACAAATCGTGCCAGGTGGAGCTCGTCGAGTTGGGGGAAATGCTCGACGTGTCAAGGGAGGGTTCCAGGGAAATTGGTGCATGCGCACAGACTCGCCGAGTCGCCATAGTGCACTCGCCGAGTCCGGTCAAAGTTGACCGTTGACCGTTGACCAGCGTTGACCAAGAGTGATTTGTTATAGTGTGATCAACCCTAGTTGGGAAAGTGTTAATTAGAGATGTATTGTGCTATAGGGGGACTATAGCTCGGCGGATCGAGTGTTTAGTGATTTCAGGGTTACGAGTTACCGAGACACACGAGGTGAGTCTTCTCACTATACTTTACCTTGAGTAGGTAACCAGAGTTATGTGATAGGGTATTTGTATGCTATGTATGTTATGTGTTGTACTGCATGATTTCTATGTGATTTATGTGGTGCATGTTTATCAGAGCTAGAACCTGAGGGTTCACAGAGTTTGGGTGCACGGACCCACAGAGTTATAGCCTCGAGTGGCTAATATGTGTTATATGTGGTATTTTGGGGAACTCACTAAGCTTTGTGCTTACAGTGTTGATGTTATTTGTTTCAGGTGCTAGTGACGACCGCGGGAAGGCGCCGGCTTGATCCGTACACACACGTTTGGAGTTTGACATGTTGATCTTGGGATTTTGTACTGTTTGTTGAACAATTAAAATGGTTGTTTTATGAATATTAATGGAGTTATGTTTTTATAAAAATCGAAAAATTTGTTTGAAAAAAAATTGGTGTTACATGTTAAGTGGTCTCTTTAATGAAGAACATGAATCAGAAGAAAAGGAGGAGGAAAAGTATAAGGCCCCGACGTATGATACAACCTTGGTACTTAAAACTCTTCAAACCCAGGCTGTACAAATGCTAATGTAGATTAAAGAGAACAAATTTTTTATAAAACGTGTCTTATGAATGTGTGACAACCAAGAGTATTCCATCATGGACCACCGCAAGGAAAGATTAGGAAAAATAGACGTAATTGATTAATATTGTAATATCTTATTTTTGAGATAATAAGAATCAAATGTGTCATTAAATTTATTAATAAATCAATTGTTAGGATTGGAAATAAGCATC